TGGTTAACACATAGAAACCTAGTTCTCTAAATATATTAGTTTCAGTATATCTTCATGTACTCCAAAGACAAGCATATATACCTCATCTAAAAATAGTATAACATCCAGATGCCTATAATATACTTCTAGGTAGAAATCATGTTTTATTCAGATTTGTCCTTCCTGTGACTGGTAAGAGAAGAAATGCTAAGAAAATGCTTGTTGAATGAATAAAAGGATGCATGAATGATTAAGCACAGTTCCAAATTTTAGAAATTTCTAAAGAATGAATACAACATCCTCAAAGAAACTACCATTTGCTTTTAGTTTCCTTTTTTAATGAAAATAATATACATATATGGAAAGATTCAAAACTAGTTGTTAGTTTTACATCCTTTTCCCATGAGGAGCAACATCGCCAACCAAAATAAAGGCACTGAATCATTGTTGAATTTAATTACTTTGACCAAAAAAAGATGAACTAGGGAGTGTTATTCTATGCTCTCATCTGAAGCCCTTAATTTTGAAATCTGTTATATAAAGCATTCCAATGGAAAACATATAAGTAGTAAACTGCAAAAATCTTACATGCATGCAGCATAAATAGCAGTAATTTGCTTTTTGATTCATTTATTCATTCACTCCAATATTTAAAATCTCTAATGTGGCTAGAGAAGATTAAGTGCTGGAGGGAAAAATATTGACTGGTCTCATTTTAAACTCATGATCACTGACTTCAAGTGGGTCTTAGTGCTCCCAAGGTATCCTACTATATGCTACTCAACTTGTCCCACCAGATGACAATGTAACACCTCTCCTCTTTCTACAAGCCTTCAATATCTTCAGCTCCTACTCAATCTCAGCTGATGATTTTGCTCCTTGTTTCACTGGGAAAATAAATCAACTGGAAGAGGCTTTGTGCAGGCTCTCACCTCCCAGGGGTATCATCAACTTGTGTTCCTGTGCTCTGCCCTTCCTGTGTTATTTTGGAAGAACTGTATGGCTCACTTCTGTCTCCTACTCAAGACCACAGCCCTGAAGCTGTCCAGCCTTGCTCCTACATCACCAATTGTCCCCTTTCTTCTAGACTGTTTCCATCAGCACACAAACATAATATATCTCATCTTAAAAAATACAATACAAAACAATAAAAACGTGATCCAACTTCATCCTCTTCCTACCAGTCCAATTCTTTGCCCCCCTTCAAAATAAACTCTTCTCAAGAATTATCTAAACCATGCCATTCTTAATAAAAGGGATATAACCTCAAAAGGGCAAATATTGATTCTCACAGGTAAAAAATTCTTATTCTTTTTATATATAAAGCATAGATGTAGATACAACATGTAGCAGAAGTATAATATATCTGCAATATTAGAATTTCGTGGAGGGAGAGGATTAGGAAAAAATGTCTAATAAAGCTCCTTAGGGAGGTGATAATGCAAAAAAGGTCTCAACACACTATATCAGTGTCCTCTCTTCCCATTTGTTTCTTTAGCCTTCTCCAATCTGACTTTATCAGTATCCCATAGACTGCTACTGTTAATGTCATCTTTGCAAACTCCAGTATCTCCATATTGCTAAATCCAATGGCCAACTCTTAGATGAAAACTATAGGCATAGCTGATCACATCCTCTTTCTTCAAACACTTTCTTGGCCTGTAGGACCATGTGTGTGCTTGGTTTTCCCCCTAATTCACTGGCCTCTCCTTCTCACTCTTCTTTGCTGGTTCCCCTTATCTTCCATCTAGTCTCCAAACACTGCAGTTTCCTTGGGTTCAATCTTGGTCCTCATCCAGTTCCATGGTATTAAATACCATTTCTCCGCTGATGATTTTCAAATACATATCTGCAGCCCAGACATCACTCCTGAAACTTCCTAGAGTCAACTGCCTAAGCATTTCCACCAGAATTCCTGATAGGCCTCTAAACCCAATCCGAGTCCAAATCCCTGCTCTTGCCTGGCCCACAAACCCAATTCTCCCTCAGTCCTCTCCCTTTGTTAAAAGGCATCTCTGTCTTTCCAACTGCTCAATCCAAAAACAGTGGTGTCATTCTTGGCTCCTGGTTCTGTCATACTCCAGGTCTAGTCCATCAGCAAATCCTGGCAGCTCTATATTTATAATCAAGGCTCTCTAGCTATTGGAACCCTTGAGAATGGATAAAAACACAAGGGATCCTTGTACAACTGGATTGCAACCACATCTCAACATACCACCAGTAGTGCTGTGGTCCAAGCCACCATCATTTCTGGCTTCTACTTTTATAATATCAGATCATCTGGTCAGCTCAGCCCTCTTGTAGTCTATTTTCTACATAACAGCAAGAGAACTTCTACTCACATCTTAGTCAGATCATATCATTCCTTAAATGCCTTTCCATCTGATGCAGAGTAAAATCCAATGTCTTTACCATAGCCCACAAAACCCTACTGCTCCTCTTTATACAATGCACACCAGCCACACTGATCTCCTTGTGAAATTGCTCATTTCTTGGGGCTTTTCTACTTGTATCTCCTTCTTTTTGGATATCCCTCCAGAGATTCCCATGGCCCTCACCTTCACTACTCTCAGGTGCCTGCCTGCTCATTAAAAATCACCTATCATAGACCTGCTCACACTATACACAAGAGCGCTCCTTGTCATTTTTTATTTCCCCCTCTTGCTTCATCTCGACTCCCCTCCCCAGAACTTATTATCATCTCACAAAGATATTTATTTATTTTCTTCTTCCCATTGGAATAAAAATGGTAGACTATTATGCCTCCTCCCACAGGAATAGAAGTTCCTTGGAGCTTTTGTTGTTTGTTTCACTGTTATACCCATGGTGTCTAGAACACAGTCTAGCACACAGTAGATGTTCAATAAATATTTGTACAATAACAAAAAGAGAATTCAACATCTGAATAAAAGATGACAACTACCATTTTTTAAAAATAAAACTGGATTTTAATTTCCCTTCTTGGAGTAAAATCTCATATTCTTATATGAGTTTGGCAAGTAAAATTATAAGATGTGAAAAAATATCTAACAAGTCACAGAAATGGAAAGGAAACTCTGCTTTGGATACAGTGATTTCCTTTGGCTATTTCATGTAGCATATTTTAGGAGAGACCAGCATTTAAATAGCATCCTCAAAACAACAGAGACTTCTACGCTGGTAAAAATTATAAAAGTGTTCTGTGCTGGTTACTCAAATACTTTTTAGATTTTTCTCTTTATTTTCTAGAACTAAATATTTAAGTCAGAATGAGAAAATGTCAGACTCAGGAAGCAGGACTTCAGAAGAACTATAAATGATTACATTGCCCAGTCTGTATATAGCCATTTTTCATAAATCTAATGCAATTAATACAAAACTTTTTAAATAAGATACATTAGTGGGGGGGGAAAGCCTACCAGTAAAGAATGGTGGTATTCCTCCCATTCTTTTCTTTTACTTCCCTTCCTCTCTTTTAATCCTAATGTTTAAAATTCTCTACTTTAAAATTAGTAGTCGATCGTGGTAATACTTTCTTATTTGGATTTAGCACATTTTATTTGAATCTTCAGAGATTTCTGCCAGAAAGCTAAAATCTTAGTTCTCAAATTTCCTCTCTCTTTAAAATGTCTTTGCCAGCTCAGATGGGAAAAAGTTTAATTCAATTCAGTTGATGACTCAGTTCGTGATAATGACGCAATTCAATAAATTATAGCTCTCTGTTCTTTCATCCTACCCCCATCTCTAGTATTGACATTTCTTTTTAAAGCCTTTCTGTATCGAAGAACTTCAAATGAAAAGCAGAGCTCTAAGTTCTGAGGGAAGTACACAGTAAAGCAGCATCAAGAAGGAATCTTTTCTTTTGTTCAGGTAGCAACACAATGTCCTAGTTTAAAACATCATAAATCTACTGACAGCACATGTATAAGAACAGAAATGTGAAAATATTTACATCGTGATGCATTTATATCAAGCATGGAGGGAACACACACATTGGTAAAGGGTAAATTGCTAGGTAAGGGAGCAAAAATATGTGCTGCTCCAGTTACTATAGCCTGGAGAAGATGTGGATTCCATAGTTGGTTCTGCCATTCAATAGCTATATGATCTTAGGAAATTTAATATAATTTCTCTGAGCCTCACTTTCCACCTCTATAAAATGGGGATAATACTTCCCATAAGGTGGTTGTGAAGAGTAAATGATACAGTATAGGTAAGTTCTTAATATGAGTATTCACAAAAGGGTATTTGATGTTGGTATTATCATCATCTTCCAGTTATCCTCACCTTTGTGTTATTTTTTTTTTCCAACACAACTAATTATCCCCAAAAGTACATCTAAGTAAGGAAGTTTCCTCTGTCCTTCCAGGACCAGAAGTGAGTAGTAAGCACAATAGTAGTACCAGATCACCCTAAATTCCAAGATGATGGAAGTCTGACCCCCATGTTTTAGGAAGGTGGTAGAGAAAAAAGCTTAGCTTGGGCTGTCTTTCAGGCACTTAGAGAAAGAAAGACTAAGTAGAACCAACTCCCTATCTGCTATTTTGCAAATAATAAATTCAAAAAGATAAGAGGATGAGGAAATATAAAAGGTGAAGATCAAGACAATTAATTAATTAATAAAAAATTTAACAGTAATAATTGTTTTTTCTAAAATGGAGAACTCAGTGCATAAGCTTACAGACAGCACAAAAGACCAACTCATGTCAGAAGAAGTTTAGAAATTGCATTATTTCTATGAGATGGACTGCCAAAAAAGGCAACAAAGCACATAGCTTGATGAATAAAGGACTTTTGTTTCCCGTGCTTTCAATCAAACTCTTTTCAGCAAACTGTCAAGGAAAAATTAAGAATTTAAATTTTGTTTAGTAAAAAGATTTGGTTCTCATTTTTCCATCAAGGACAATGAAAGATTCTAGAAGTTGTAGAAAGAAAGTTGAAGGTATTCACAACTCTCTCTAAAGCATTCCCTTCCTTTTCCTCTGAATGTACTTCAAGATGTATTTCAGATTCTGTTTCATTCCTTCATTCATTCAATACAGACTGCAGGCTTACCATCTGTGAGGCACTCACAAGGAAATCCCGGGAAAACAAGAACAGGTAAGTCAGAGCAAGTTCCTGTCTTAGTGTACTTGATATTCTACCAGGAAAGACACATATTCCACAAAGGATTAAACTGTTAATTAATTACAATTTTGGTAAGTATTAAAATATGAGGCACAGGAAACTAGGATAATATGTAATGGGAGAAATGGTCTGGTCTGGGGGGTTAGAAAGACTTTCTTTTTAATTTCGTATATCATAGCTGTACAGATTTTGGCATATGTGATATTTTGATACATATATGCAATATGTAATAATCAAATCAGGGTAATTGGGATAAACAGTCACTCAAACATTTATCTTTTCTTTGTGTTGGGACATTACAATTCTTCTCTTCTAGCTATTAGGAAGACTTTCTCAAGGAAGTGGTCTTGCCAAGTTTCAAGAATGGACAGGGGCCTAAAGTTGGCAGAAGGAGGTCAATAAACAAACTTTCTTGATGGGGTCATGTATATTACAAAATTATGATATATTAATAATATGGTAAGGAAATTCTTACCTTCCAGACATTAAAACTTACTGTAACAGTATTTCTCCCTGTTATCCTTGCTCTCTGCAAAGGTGGGGACAAAAAGCAATACTGAAACTATATTTAAAGATGCTAACCAGCTGCCTTCAAGGAGTTCTGAAAAATGACCAGCCAAAACTGGCCTCACTACCCTGAGCCCCACTGCCCAGGTGATGCAGAAAGAAGACTCAGGGGATGTGAAAGCTCAGCCTTGTCATATCCCTGGAAGGAAGCTTTATCTTCCAAACCCTAGATGTGGAGAAGGGGTCATTTCCCTCTTTAGGAGCCTACCAGAGAATGATTCAGAAATAAACCCCGTGGGGAAGCTCCCAGAAGGAGTAACCAAGACTTGTTTCCTGCCGAGGGACTTGCTGAACTGGCAGAACTCTCAGGGCCTAAGCTAAAGCTCTGCTGATAGGGCTGCCTAAAAAGAAGGGTCATTAATAGCAGCAGAAAGGTTTGTGTGAGGCTGAACACTGCCCACCAGGCCAGGAAAATACACCACATACGGTCTACACCATAAACCATCACCAAGCAACAGACGAGGAATGAACTTTAGTGAAGCCAAGGCCACCTCCCTACCACCAACAAGCAGCCAGTAACAGAGGCAATCGGTGGCTCTGTGAGCATACAGAGTCTGTAGACATTCAAAGAGACCAAAGGGGTAACAGACCTCGTAATCCACTCTCCCACAAGCTCCTGCAGCCACAGACAGTTCCTGCTGGAATTAGGGGTAGACAGAATGAGCTCTAAACTGAAACTGAGGTTTAAACATAAACACAATTGAGTCTTAAAAAGCAAAGTGAGACTGTTCTAACAGCCAAAAGTGACTAGGAAGTTGTAGCAAATTATTAAGATGTCATTAAGAAACCATCTGTAGGCTGGGGGCAGTGGCTCACGCCTGTAATCCTAGCACTTTGAGAGGCCAAGGCCAGAGGATCACTTGAGATCAGGAGTTCGAGACCAGCCTGGAACAAGAACAAGACCTATCTCTACAAACTAGAAAAATTAGCCAGGCATAGAGCTGTGCCTATAGTCCCAGATACTTTGCAGGCTGAAGCAGGAGGATCGCTTTGAGCCCTGGAGTGTGAAGTGACAGTGAGCTATGATGATGCCACTGCACTCTATCCCAGGCAACAGAGTGAGATCCTGTCTGTATCAAAAGAAAAAAAAAAAAAAACAAAACAGTTAAGAAACCCTCTCTAGAAAGACACAGCATTCAAAATAGGGAAGTGTGAGTGCAGTTCTGGGAAAAATAAAGCTGTCTCATGTTTATACCCCACATAGTTCAGACTCCTTAAAAATGAGTTACAACCACAAAGTGACTATAAAGAAAACAATGGTGGTATTAGCACAGGAATAAAAAAAAATGGAACAGGATAGATATCCAGAAATAAACTCAAGCATATATGGAATTTAACATATGGCAAATGATGAATTTCAATTTAGTGGGAAAAGAATATCTTACTAAAGAAATGGTGCTGATATAATGGGTATCACTCTGAAAGAAAAAAAAAAAACAACGAAGCTATATACCCATTTCATACTTTATAAAAACATATATACCTGGTAAAGATTTTAATGTAAAGTATAAAAACTAAAATTGTTAAAAATATAATCCAGAATATTTATATGACTTTAGAGTGAGGGACATTGCATCAGGAAATCCACCATCTGTGAAAGAAAAAGACACATTTGAATAAATAAAAATCTTAAGAAATTATTATGGCAAATGACATAATAAACAAAAGCAAAAGACAAATTATAGTCTGGGAAATATTTGTAATAGTGTATGACAAACATTAATATTTCTCATGTGTGAAATGCTTCTAAAAATCAAATAACCTACTACAAAAGTAAGCACAGGAGATGACTAGAGCATTCACAGAACAGGAAACCTAAATGACCAATATAAACTTATGAAAAGAAGCTCAATTTCACTTTCAGTCAAGGGAAATGTAAATTAAAATAAGAATGATGTACTTGTTTTTACTTATCACTTTGGCAGAAATTTAAAAAATAATAATAAATATTAAAAATATACAGTCCTAATGAATAAGCAGGCATTCTCGAACATTAAGAATGAAAATCACTATAAACTTTTGGAAAGGAATATGGCAATACCTACTAAAGCAGACAGATCTTTTGACCCAGAAATTTGACTTTGGAGATGTGATCACCCACAATAGCATTAAAAGCACGAGAACATAAGGATGTATAAACAAGAATGTTTGAGGCATAGTTTTTAGTAGGAAAAGAAACCCAGAAAACACATGAATGTCCATTAATAAACAATAAGAGATGAGAGACTTAATGCCACTACTTCCAAACTGAAAAGTTTTATGCAGTGATAAAATAAAAATAAGTGAGATGTATTTATCTGAAAGAATGTTGAGTAAAAATGCAAATTGCAAAACAATAATTTTAGAAGCCACTCATAGTCATCCAAATCTTTATACGCTTGGAGCAAGGTGTGGAACTGTACTCACTAAACTGTCACCATCAGTTACCTCTGGGGCCTGGGAGGGGAGGGCAGAGCCAGGGAATGGATTATTAGTTCATCTTTGGATTGCTTCATTTGTTCTAATATTATATATCAGCTTCATCATGAAAAGTGATAAGAAATATTTGGGGAGGGGAAGGGAAGGACTACTTAATTTTTTAACTACTAAACAACATCTAATACAGTAAGCATTCAATACATATTTGTAGAATGAGGGAGGAAGGCAGGAAGAAGATGAAGTAGGTTATAAATAGATTTGTAGGGGGCAAGAAGATAACTATAAATGGAATGATGATTCATTGTAGAGTCTATAAATAAACACTGTGAAGGAAGTCAAAAATAGATAACTGATAAAGCTGGCAAAAATAAGAAAATGAAAAAAAGTTTTTAAAAAAATAAAATAAATAACAGACACCAATGAAAAGGATAAAAACAACATAGTAGTTACTCCCAATATATAAAAAAATTGAACTTCCCTATCAAAACAGATTTTTCATGTTGGATTTTAAAACTCAGCTAGGTGTTGTTCTCCAGAAACATCAAAAACAAAGTATAAATAAATCAACAAAAGTGATCCTATTCACAATCTCCAAAAAATCATAGAATATTTCTTAATATGCCTATAAGAAATGTGTATGATCTTATGATAAAAGTTATAAAATATTATTGAGAACATAAAAATACATAGGAAAATGGAGAAATGTTTCATTTTCTTGAATGGGAAGATGAACTGTTGGAAGGATGCCAATTCTCCCCAAAATGACACTTGAATTCAATGTAATTCAAATCCATATTCCAACAGGAGTTTTTGATGAAACCTGATTCTAAAGTACACTCAGAGAAATAAAACATAGATTAGCCAAGGAAAATTAGAACAAAAATCATCAAGAGGTCTTTACTCTACCTTATATCACAATAACTGTTCCATGAGGAAAGGAGTTTAGTGGAAAGAATCTTTATTGCAGATTTGCACTATCAAAGCAACACTTTGTAAAACTGGAAACCTCCTAAATGTCCATCAAACTGGTTTAACACATCAAGGTAAATGCAAAGAATAGAACACTATGCAGTAAAACTCATGAACATTCATTGGCATTGGAAAGATATTTCTAATAGTTATAAATTAAAAACAAGATACATAAAAAATGGTAAATTTCTACCTAGAAAAAATATCTAGAAATATGTATTAACCAGGCTAGTATTGATGGGAGCTGGAATTGTGAGTGGACTGTATTTTCTTCTCACTCTCAAATTTTTTATCAGTAAAATATAATAACTAAAAAATAAAATGAAAAATAATGCATAATATCTATTTTTTTAAAACACTGAACAATTTTATGTACCTTCAGTACAGCATTAAAGTCCAAACTGATGATAGGATAGCTGAAGCCAATATAGGGTAGCCAGAGGCTGAAAAGAAGGCAAACAGAGTTGGGGGAAAGGGCGTGGGGAGCTTTGTTTTGCTTACCCGGCCTTTCGGGAGGAAAGGAGCAGGGTGGTACATGGGGTGCCACTGAGAAAGCAGTTATTGACTAGGAAATCCTTAGAACATTAGAAATGTACCCCCACGATCTTTATTTTAATAGTTCATTAATAAACCTACCATCTTTAAATTTACTGAAACTTCTAAACTGTTATACCATGTGATCAGTGCTATCATTTTAAAATGTAGGCAAAATTAGTCAGTCAAATTAATATCTTATGGATTTAAAACTTCTCTACAGTGAAATAAAGTAACATTTCCTTAGTCTAAGACTATCTACTTTAAGGCTTAATGGTTGCTGGCCCTTTGGCTGTTGTATTCTGGAATGTAATTTAATTTATATATATATATATATTTTTTTTTTGAGACAGAGTCTCGCTTTGTTGTCCAGGCTAGAGTGAGTGCCGTGGCGTCAGCCTAGCTCACAGCAACCTCAAACTCCTGGGCTCGAGCGATCCTTCTGCCTCAGCCTCCCGAGTAGCTGGGGCTACAGGCATGAGCCACCATGCCCAGCTAATTTTTTATATATATATCAGTTGGCCAATTAATTTCTTTCTATTTATACTAGAGACAGGGTCTCGCTCTTGCTCAGGCTGGTTTTGAACTCCTGACCTTGAGCAATCCGCCCGCCTCGGCCTCCCAAGAGCTAGGATTACAGGCATGAGCCACCGCGCCCGGCCTTAATTTATATTTTTTAAGACAGGGTCTCAATCTTTTGCCTGGGCTAGAGTGCAGTGGCATCATCATAGCTCACTGCAACCTGGGCTCAAGCGATCTTCCTGCCTCAGCCTCCTCAGCAGCTGGGACTACTGGCATGTGCCATCATGCCCAGCTAATTAAAAAAAAAAAAAAATTTTGTAGAGACAGGGTCTTGCTAGGTAGCTCAAGGCTGGTCTTGAACTTCCAGCCTCAAGTGATCCTTCCACCTCCACCTCCCAAAGTGCTAGGATTACAGGTGTCAGCTACTGTGCCTTGCCTATATTCTAGAATTCTAAAAACAATTCCATGTTCTCCTAAGTTATAATTAAATATATATGCATATGTATTTATATATATTCTATATCTGTATCTATTGCCATTGTAGGTCTTCATTGTAGAGCTGAGAAGCTCTATATTTCTAGATAGAAAAGCTTTCATTTGTTACCCTATGTCCATATATGGATGTGATCCTTTGGTTATTATAGTTTGCCTTCTTGAGATCACTTTCATCACATCTTCACGATTATATAGCAACCAGGATGAGTTATTTAGGGAAAACCAACTCTTCTTTCCCTATCCTCCAATCTAGGAAAGCAAAGCTCAGCATTACGTTTCTAAAGGCTGGGATGACTACAGACACACACACACACACACACACACACACGCACACACGCACACACGCACACAATCACACAATCACACACACAATCACACACACAAAGGAGAAAATAAAACATCTTTCTCTTGCAGGATCTTAAGGTAGATTAAACCAGAGGATCACTAAAAATTAGAGGGTAGGGGATGGAGATGAATGCTTTAAGGGAAGAAGCACAACCAGAAGTGGAGATGGAGGATTACTGAATCTAATATTTAAGGCACAGGGCATAGGGGTTTGAGGGATTCCTGTGCATGGTAGAAAGCCGGCTCCCACTTGCCCAGGTGGGATCTTGCTGCAGAATGCCTATGGAACATGCCTCTCAGCCAGGATCTCAGTGGTTAGTTCCGTGCCATTCCATGAGAGGCATCTCTGAGTGCAAGCAAAACAAAGTACCTAACCAATGTCAGAGGACCAGGGCTGGGCCCAAGCACTGCATAGCAGAAGAACTGCAGTAATGACCACAATCTTATGGACTTAGGCCCCACATTTCCTCAGTTTTCTGGCACTATAAATGCCAGGAATTTCTGTGTGATTTCAAAGGGCAGGGAGGAAGCTCTAATGATGACTAAGATTGGGTTTATTATAGCAGGTGAAGAGATGCTCAGAGCAGATAGTTTGTATACTTAAGAGAAATAAAGGAAAAGACATTCCTTGCACCCTAATGTTGCAGACTCTCACTCAAGTTGACCACACAATATTCTGGATACAAACATACCACTGTTTCACACATGCTTCCCACTTTATTTCCAAGACACTTATGATTGATATCCAGGATTTTTCTGGCCACTTTTTCTTTAGAAATGCATTGGACTGATATTCTGAACTGTCTACTGAGACTCTCTCTGCCATCTTCTTATCTGTAACCTAGAGTTCAGACCACACCATTTTATAAGCATGCTTTCACATGAGTTTCTCCTAACACACCACTCTTACACGTGTCAAAAGTGAAGCTCATCTGTTACTTTTCTACCCATTCACACAATTTCATGAGAACACTTGGCAAATGGGCATTGCACCTTCTAAATTTACTTGAGTCATCATCTAGAAAAAAGTAAGGGACACAAGGGCACTTAAGAAATAGTCCCATCTTGATGCTTCCTCAAAACAGGAATGATCCTGGGGACAGTGGGCAAGGCAGTGCAAGTGGATGGGGGTAGACATCCGTGACAACATTTTTATTTCCTCCACTCTGGCACACATTTGGGGACAAAGAGTGAAAAAGGAACAGGGGACAAGTGAGGTTGTGCCCTTTACAAGAAAGGTGGCATTTAGAAAAAACATCACTGTTGACTTGCAAAAACCTCAGATGACTAACTCCTTTTAGAAAAGTGATGAGTTCATTAATTAAAAGTTAATTAATGTAGAGTTTTGAAGGCAATTATCATGCTTTTTTATAACAACAAATATGTTTCAAATGATTCCTACTTAAAAATCCCTGGAAATAAAATGGTCACCTTTGTGAATTTCCCAACACCAAGCACCCTACACTTTAAACAGGTCTTGCAGACCTCTTCTTTGATGGTAAAGAAGTCATAAACATTAAAAAATTATTGGGATTATTACTAATGGCTATGTGCTTACTATGTGCATGACACACCTATAAATCCTCTACTCAGATTATCATTTATTCCTCACTATAATTTTATGTATGGTAGATAATGTAATTTATCTTTATTGTGTAGATGTGAAAACTGGAGTCCAAAGAGGTTAAGTAACTTCCCCAGATCACCCAGACTGTAAGAGGCAGGGCTGGGTTATAAACCTTGGCACTCCGGATCCATGCTCTTAACTACCTCCTATAACATAGCCAATGCCGGAAGTTAATGGCTAGTACAAAAATCAAGTGTCAGAAGAGCCTCTGAGGTGCTTTCCCTGAGTAATGGGCAGTCAGAGATGCCTTTGAACTCACAGGCTCTACACGAGGGAGACCATAGAACATGCATCAGGTTACACCTGGCCAGGGGAGATTTGTGAGCAAATGCACAGAAGGAGAATGTATTATTCATTCAGGGAACTCAAGATAGACTAGGATTTCTGAAGGAAAGAGACCAACTCCATGACTCTACTAGCCTCTCTCAACTTTCCTCTTGGGAACCTTTCTGATCTGTGGCCACATGCTCTGCAAAGACCTGACTTTTATTTTCATTCATCTTCTTCCTAAAGTGCTATTAGGTGACTTAAAGCAACTACAACATGAGACCCCTGGTCCAAAATTAGCAGCGTTTTGGCAGAGTAAGGTCAGAACAGGACTAGTACATTTCTTCTCCCCATCCCTCACTAGAGATATACTACTGACACATTTCTGCTCACGTGAATATGGTTTTCCCCTTTACAGAAGCATTGGGTAGGAGCAAGAGTGCATGTGAGTACACCCAGGGATAGGAGAATGGGCCCTCACAGGAACATTTGAGCATCATACCTAGTTTGTTTTCTTTCTTTCGTAAGAAAATAAAGAAAAAAGAACATTCTGGTGTTAAGGATATGAGATAGCACACTGCACTATTAAGGGTGTATATTAATTAGGAGACCTTTAAAAACATGCATTCCTTTCATGTAATGTTATGGAGGAAAACCTGAGGAGCCCCACATGGAAGACAAGATGGTATAGGGGAAAGAAATCTTCCAGACTCCTCATTCCTCATAATCACTCACCATACTCCACCTATTTTATTTTACAGTGCTTATCCTAATTCTTTTCCACTGCCTCTGCCACTCTCTTAGCAGGAGAATGGAAGACTATAGCAGGGAAGTGAGGTACGTGGATTTTAGCCCACTAATGCCTAATGAAGTGTGAACAAAACATGAAATCAAGACAATAATAGTATTTGAAATGTGCCTTCTTTTTCTTGACCACACCCTCTCCTGCCCAACCCCTAATAAACTGTACAATCTTGTACAGGTCAGGTGATATCCTAAATTCCTGATCAGAGTGGAAGAAGTAATGAGCTCCAAGCTTCCTTCTAGTCCTAAAATTCTATGATCCATTCAGGGCTCACCCTTTTATCCTAGCACTGTTAACCAGGTACCAAACAGGAACCAGAATATTCTGAGACTCTCTCGCCCCTAGAAGCTTATACTAAAGTTGGGAAATAAAACAGATTCATTCTACAGGTATTGACTGAACAACCACTAGTAGTGTCAGGTCTGTGTGAGACACAGAGCTTGATGCTGGGTGAGACGGAGTGGATACAGGACTCCTTTCCTCAGGGATTTTATGATTTAGTGGGGAAGACACTAAAAATATGAGGATCACAATTAAACTTGATGAATGCTATAAAAGAGCAGAATATCTCAAACAGGCCTAATTGAGGGGGGAGAAATCCTGTGGGGTGCTTGTTAAAGATACAGATTCCTGGGGCCTAGCCAAACGCTGGGAATCAAAATTTTCACAAAAGTAACCCTTGAATTTGTTTAAACTAGTGATTTTCATTAGTCAACTTTGGAAAACATGGTGATCAAGAATGAGCAGGACACTGTGGGAACTCATACCCAAATGAAACAATCAGTAATAGGATAGTCTAAGATTAAAGTACCTATGGGAGAGTCATACATAACAGTGGTTCAGAGTACAAGCTCTGGAGTCACATGACTAAACTTCACATCTCAGCTTCACCACCAAGAATGGGTATGATAATAATGCTAGGATTGCTCTGAGGATTAAGTGAGTTAATCTTTGCAATGTGAATATATAGAGAGTAGCACAACGATAGAACCAGAAGGTAAATCATAAGAGGTTTGTAATATGATACATGAGGCTTCCCTATTCTCCCAGCTGGGAGAATGTAATAAGTGTAATAAATTTAGTAATTGCCAAAAGAAAAAAGTAGTTCTGTTTCTTCCATAAAAAGCAAAATAGGGAGTTGGATAATGAAAATCAGATCATGGTATAATAAAAAAGGGAATTCCTTCCTGTAAGAAATGGTATTTATGTTAATATCAAAGGCTAGATATGATTTAAAGAGAAGAGAATAAGAAAAACACAGAAAACTAAAGACATGATACTGTTCCTAGTCTATACAAATATGAGACCTGTAGTTTATCCCTAGTTCTGTCACTAATTAACTATACACTTTTGATTCAGTTAGTTAATTCTCACAGACATAAATGTATTTCCCTGTGATACGCAGTTCTGCGAATTATAGTTACAGGGTTATTCTGTGTTTTGATCATCTTCACAGTCCTCTCTAGTTTAGAGTCTAAGGGGTCCTGCTATACATATTTGACCCAGTAGATGGCAATATATGGCTATATTGTAACAGGATATCTTTTCCACAGACTCTTAAGATGTCTTATAATCAAATGAGCATATTTAAGGTTCTCCAGAAAACAGATGGGTAGACAGTAACTAATTCCTCATACTCAGGTCATTATTGAGATTTATAAAATAAAGAGAAAACAGATGTTTTAATCCCTTTGATTTAAACCCACAGATGTAAAAGGATCTTTTAGAGGCCATTCTAATTCAACTCTTTTCTGCCAGAGAGAGTTGTTTCATGACAGAGAGGTAAACACAGAATGATCTGCATAGGGTATAATTCTGAACCAAATCAATACAACACCCCTCAGTCAAATATACCAAGTCAATTATTCTTAAACATTTTCATCATAAAGAGCCTATATATCCCACAATACCTACACTAAATAAGAAAAGGAAAAAAGATCTATTTCCTTTTTAGCATGATACATTTTATAAAACAGTATCAATGTTTTCATTTTTTATAATAAGAGTAAACTATCTTTATTTTCAAAGTTATGGCTATTCAAAATTTATAAAGAAAAAATTGAAAATCATATCTGAGCAATAACCAATGTTAATACACTTATCAAATTATTTTTGATAGATGGAAAAGAAATACAAATACACATTTTTATCTTTTTTCAAATCAAAAATATTTGTAGATCCTTCCATCCATGTTAATAAATATTTTGTTGTACTAACAATCACTAGCATTCTAATGTTCACAAGTAAATATTTACAAAATGTATGAAATATCAGAAAGTGTTTCGAGAAAACATCCCTTAACTGAAAGGTCTGGTCTTGCCCCACAACACTACTTGACAGAATTAGTCACATTCAAAGATGAGCAATGACTGGGAGGGACCTATGCAGAGAAAAGGAGGAAAACAACAGAACAGAACCTAACACATGAGCTGATGAAAAATATGTAACAGAGACATTTTGCCAGGAAGCAAATCAGTTCAGCAAACACTCAAACATTAACTCAGTAACTACAAAAGAATATAAGACCTCTCTGAAACAAAACTTTAAAGAAGGGGGCAAATGGAATCCTTTTGAAAATTACATGGGTGACGTGGAAGGAAGACTAGAAAAAAAAAGTAAAAAGTAATGCAAACATCAAAGGTGACAGTGAGCTGAGAGAAAATGGCAGTTAGAGAGAGAGATACTATATATGTTTTTGTTGATACTCTGAGATGGTAATAAATAGAGCAGAAATAAACCTTCAAATAAGTATTAGAAAGAAACTTACCTGGAAATAAGGGAAAAGCTAAATCTTCAAGGTAAAAGTGGACATGTCCCATGAAAAGGTGATACACAAAATTAATAATAAGACTCATATTTATGAAATTACTAGACACAAAGATGAACAAATATAAAAGAGATGCCTCTAAAATAAAGTGTTCCTGAAAGGTTCTAAGTAAAAAGGATGCAACAGACAAATGAAAATAAAAGAAAGAGCATCTCATTTATCAGTCAAGGCTGATTTGAAAGCAAAATAAAATTAAAATGAGACTAAAGAGAGAACTTTTTTAAGTCAAAGGGTATAGTTATAATGAAGTTCTAGTATGAATCAAATAAAATCATAAAGCAAAAATTTCCACAGGATAGACAGGAGAAAAAGCAATGATAGCAGATGAATTATCTTTCTCAGCCCAAGACAGTTCAAGTATACACACAAAAATAAGATGTTAAAGATATAAATAAAATTATTAATTAGTAGGCCCTTAAACACACTTTAGGAATTAGTCTCTGCCATGGTATTCTGTTTTAGATGTCACCAATACAAATATTGTGAAATACTTTCAAAATCCAATATTGAAGGGTCTTTCTTGATATACAAAACTATGCAGTTTTTAAAGCTGAAGGCACTGACTGATAGCTGTACCGTATTGTAATAAAATGTTATAGTATGTTACTAAAACAATCTCAAAATCAATCCAATTATTGCAGACCTCCATGGCAATAAATTATCCTACTTTAAATGACTATGGCAACAGATGAGATAGATTCATGAAAGAGGTCGTTTTTTCCTTTGCCTATAGTCATCTAATAAATATTCAAATTCCTTCTATACTACCACACACTGTACTATAAAAGAAGCTATATTTTTGCCACATAGTGACACTGATACTCACAGGAAAAAAATTAGTTTTGAGATATAATAGCAGTTATGCTCATCCTCAAAGACCAATTTCTACTATGGTTCTAAATCTAAGATCTATAAACCATACTTATTACCCGTTTTCTTTCTAAAAACACCATAAAAGGCCATTTCTCTATGAAATCTAGTGTCCATTTTAGCTGTACAACAATGTCAAAAGCTACAGGCATATCAATATCCACTGCCACCCCACAGCCCTGAAGCCTGGTCCACCATCACCAGACTCTGTTTTGCTATAACTCATGGGCTTCAAGGCAAGATGAGGTATCCTCTGAAATTCAGTGACTTCACAGATCAGGCTCAGACAGACATGATGAAAGCAGGAGAAAAATCAGTGAAATCTGTTACAGGTAGCAGCAAAGCAGAGCTGCAGACAGACTTTTCTTAAGGATTCAGATAATAGGGACATCTGTGGAGATAGATAGTAGATTAATGGTTGCTTAGGGCTGGAGGGAGGGATGGGGGTGATAGCTAAAGTGTACAGGGTTTCTTTCTGAGGTGATAAAAGTATTCTATAATTGACTGATTTTAGACATTGGTGATTCAGTGAATATATCAGTGAATATACTAAAAAGCACTGAATTGCTCATTTTAAACAGGTGAATTATGTGGTATGTGAATTATCTCTTAAAGCTGTTTAAATAAAAGAGGTGGGCCAGGCATGGTGGCTCATGCCTGTAATCCCAGAACTCTGGGAGGCCAAGGCAGGAAGCTCACTTAAGGTCAGGAGTTTGAGACCAGCCTGAGTAAAAGTGAGACCCCGTCTCTACCAAAAAATAGAAAAAATTAGCTGGGCATGGTGGTGTGTGCCTGTAGTACCAGCTACTTGGGAGGCTGAGGCAGGAGGATCGCTTGAGCCCAGGAGTTTGAGGTTGCAGTGAACTATGATAACACTACTGCACTCTAGTCAGGGCAACAGAGTGAAACTCTATCTCAAAAATTAATTAATTACTTAATTAAAAGAAGTGTGTGCAGTGGGGTTGAGGGGGCAAAGTCAGGTAAGAGGTGAGCCAACAAGTCCCAAGCAGAGGAGAGTGTCAGTCAGCTCAGCAATGCAACATGAGGTCTGCCAGGGCTTCATGTAATCAAGATGTGCAAAACAAGGATGCAAATGTGAGAAAACGAGACACAGATTGTGTGGCTAGGCTGATGCTTTATGACAACAGTTCTCAACCCTGGCTGCACATTAGAATTACCTGTTTGCAAGGTAAGTCCCTTTCTGAAGATCTATTGCTCTGTTCTAGAAACTAGTTGATTCACTAAGGCACGGGAATGATTCTTACAGTGTTGGCCTTGGACTAGCAACTTCAGCATCACCTAGAAACTTGTAAGGAATGCAAATTGTCTACACACTCCCATTCAACCAGAAACTCAGAGGGTTGCCCAGTAATCTGTGCTTTAACAAGCCCTTCCAGTGATTTGGATGCATGCCTATCTTATACAGTGTACCAAAAAACCAAAACAATAGCAACAAAAATCTACCACAGGCAAGCTGACCATTCTGTACCCAAATACCTTAATGTGGACATAGTATGTCAACCATTCTAGTTCTTTCTTTCAGGGTTGAGGATGTCTATCAGCAAGCATTTTTTTAACCTTTCTTTTAATCTTTGTTAAGGGAAACAAGACCTAGCTTGTTGTTTGGCTATATTGTTCAGATACATGAAAAGGTATCAAAATAGATGTTTCAAACATTTGAGGTTGTAACAGAAAAGTATTCCAGTTTAAAATCCAAAGTATCAAATTTTTCCTAATAGCAATATTATCAGAAATCTGAAGTTCTGTCAAAGATTTAGGATTTCAGTTCTAGGGCCTACAGTTATTACACTGAATTTCCCAGACACAAAAGATTAAGGGAGAGAGAGCAGCTGGGTTACCAAAGAGGATATCAATTCATATTCCGGGGCATGACTTAAGACACCCTTCTTAACTGCTCAATGGAACCTTGTACAGAACATACTATTTGAAAATTAATAAATTAATAAAAAGTAAATGAATTAAAACCAACACATAGAACTAATGAAATGAATGAACATTAAAGCAATATGTATCGACATAGTTTTCAGATCTAGATTTAAGCATAAATAATCAGTATTTTAAAGAAATAAGGCCCATTGTCAGTATAAAATTTCTCTTTCCTTCTTCATATAAATATGTATTTAAAGAAAATGGGATATAAAATAAACAAGAAAACCAGTCTATTATGGAATTGTATTAATACGCAATTTACAGAGAATATGGAAAAGCAATTTGGACCAGTGAAATTTAAGTAGCTATTCCAGTCTTTTGGAAATGCATCTGCTCAGTCAGTAAATCAGTCATTCACTCATTTTACAAATATTAAGAATACAAATATTAAGAACACCTATGTGGCGACCACTCATTGTTTTTGATTACTCAGCATGTAAATTTTCTTCCTGACAATTCCCATATTTATTTTGGGGTATTACTTTTTCCCCATTGATTATATGCAATGCAATAGAATTATAATCAAGGACATCGCAATGTTCTGGCCATGGGGTGGGAATAAAACCCAGGCCAGGTCAATAGGATGCTTTTTTCCTGAAATTTAATTCTTGGGCAGAGATACAACAAGAGTGATGGGGTGCATCATTCTCTAAGGGTAGTGTTCTCACCAGATTATTGCTATCTAAGACTTTTTGTATAGTTTTTGATATAAAGGCTTTAGGGAGGGAAAAAGGGGACCTTTAATTAAAGGGTACAAAGTTCAGTTACACAAGATAAACAAATCTTAGAGATCTACTGTGTTGCATAGTGCCCACAGTTAACAATACTATATCATATAGTTAAAATTTTGCTAAGGGGGTAGATCTTGTATGCTATGTGCTTATTATAAAAGAAAAATATAACAAATAAAGAAGGGAGATGAAACATTTGGAAGTGATAAATATGTTTATGGCATAGATTGTAGTAATGGTTTCATGGTTTATCTCCAAACTCATCAAGTTGTATACATTATGTACACCTTTTCATATGATAATCATACATCAATAAATTTCTTTAAAAAAAAAACTCATGCAAAGGCTAAAAGATAAAAACCATAGGCTCTCTAAGACCCCCTCCAATTCTGAGCTTTCTATGATTAGAATGAACATTGTCACCTAGAATTACAGTATCAGTAAGGAAAACTGGCCTGATAACACAAAAGCTAAGTGAATAAGTGTAACTAGTTGGAGAAATGTATCCTCCCTGCCACACTACTTGTTAGGTACAGTTAAATACCTTTATTCCCTTTGTTCTCATATCTGAATCCTCTCTTAGCACTTAGTACAGGAATTTTAGCTTTCAAACTCCACACATGCCTTTTGCTGATGCTACTGTCCTACTCATCTCTGGATCTCAGAGTTCACTTAAAATACACCCAAAGTCTCCCATATTCGCATATATATTACACATTCTAATTTGGGCATCAGCATGTCTTCCTCTCCTTCCTCCTATGCCCAGCATCGCTGGCAGGAAAAGTACAAACTTTCCACCACCCTCATCTCACCTGTGCTGAGCCACAGTGGCAGGAAAGAGATGTCTGTGGATTTATCAGAAGTTTCTGGTGTCAGCGCACCAGGAACCCTCAGGAGTTGTGAAAATCTTAGGTATCCAACTTCTCACTCACCCCTGAATGAATAGCATTTGTCAACTAGGAAAGATATTTGCACGTAAGTGACATTTCTAAATTGGCTATTTGTAGATTAGAGTCTATTTTGGAGAAGGACAGGAAATCAGACCCTGTATATACACTGTCTTCATCACACATTTTATATTAAAAATAAATTAAACAAAGTTTACTATCTAAGGGTTATTAAAGATAAAGTGAATAATGCTAAACCAAGTGCAGAATTAGAAAGAGTTTAAAAATAACACCCATTAAAATCACAAAAATAAAACATTATAATATTAAAGGCTTGTCAATACCTTATGGAAAATTTTAAGTAGCACTATAATTAGAAATAACAAATCAGATTAGAAGTGCATGTCAAAGTAGTTTTATGATCCTAAAAAACTTCAGATCTACATCACAAGTTATTGACTTTCTTCATTAATTTTTTTCCAACCTCTATATCAATTTATTACCTCTGTATAGTATTTAGGCTGAACTGTGTGAAATTGCCAATATATGACCAATATATTAACCCACAAAACCACAATTTTACATAGATAAACCTAGTAATAGTCACTATTTAAATACTGTTTTCTATTACCTAGATGTTCAGGAAATGAAACATTGTCAATAAAAATATCCTATTATAAAATATTTCCAAAACATACAAACCATATATACATATAAAACATACAAAGCATATAAACACATAGTGTGCAACTGAAGAGCAACTTTTAAAAATATCCTGCCTTAATTTGCAAATTCTAATCAGCCTATTAAATGTACTTAATAATAATCCTCTCTACTCAATAATATTCCCTAGTTAGTGATTAGAAATAAATACCAATCAATTCCTACTGATGGCACTACAAAATTTGATTATAAAATCAAATTTGATGGTAACACATTAGCGTTATCACCATATATAACAATAATTTCACCAGGTTCAAATGAACAGGTATCTAAAACTTAATAGGGTTAACCCATGAATTACAACCTTATTAAAAACAATAGAAAACTCATATCAGGTTCTTTCTGTGTTGGAATGGAACCGTAGCTGATCTTTAGAGGAGGTATATGGCAAAGTCAAACTTAGATGATGTAAAGAAACTACTTGGTGAAAAGTCATTCCATCCTAGTTTCCTTATCCTCTCTTTTCTCATATTCTAGTTTTCTTTGTGAGCAACTGAATCTTTGTACAACCCCTTCCTATGACCCAGTCCAGTGAAATTTGAAACCTAAAATCAATACCCTCTGGCATCCTAAGGACGAGATTAAACTGCACAGGGCAGCTTGTTTCTTTGGAGACTTGCCACTTAACGATTCTGAGGTTAATAAAACAAAATTGATTTCTAAGCTAGATAAATCAAAATTTCTTAGGTTGATGAGTTAAACATTTTTGCTTTCTTAAAAAAAAATTCTCTACAATGGTTTAAGTTTCTCTCCATATGAAAATTGATTCCAGATCATACAATAGTGATATCTGATTTGCTAAATATGTCATTCTATTTATCAATAGCCCAACACATTTCTACTTAAAATATACATGTGTTATCTTTAGCAAGAAATAATCTTTTTTTGTCTTTATTATTTCAGATAGAGGCGTTTTCTTTGAATTTTAGTTACTTTATTATAATTTTGGCTCTTTTAGCATAATTTTAGCTCCTTCAGCATAATTCACTCACCCACCTCCCATCCATCCCTTCTGTTATGACTCTCTTTCACAAAGTAGCTAGGCAATTGCCTCAAACAGAAGTAAATACCTACAGGACAACCCAGAGAGCAAAAACACAGGAAATGAGGCAATTTAAGCAAGTGTTTGCAGTATAAAAACCTTCTTTTCTCCAAAATGGCCACAAAGAGACTGGACTTTTAGGCCAAACCACTGTATGTCCATCAACAATACTAACTTATTGAAGGCAAGGGCAGTAAGAAAAATCTTCTACTTTTAACCAGTTAAAAATTTTTTTCTATGGTTTTCACATTGGCCTAGACTAAAATTATGAACTGACCATAAGTATCAGCTTTTAAAACATGCAAATCAATAAAATTTATAATCTACCCTTTGCTAAGAGAGTTAAACCAAATTCACACTGTCAAAGAAACCTTATTCCCTGAAGTAGGTAAAGAACAAAGGCAGACTCACAGTTGGTGATGTCACCATGAAGCTGCAGAATCTGAGGAACTGGCATCGTGAGGACAACAAGATCAAACTGCTCAGGGGGGCCTGTTTCTCTGGAGACTTCCCACTTGTTATTTCTCAGGTTGATCTGGGTCACACGCTGTCTGAAGGAGACTTCCGCACCTGCTCCAAGAGTAAAATCATGTTCCCATTATCAGGATTTTCTATATGAATAAAGAGAATGTGAATCATCACAAATAGGACCCAGTCAAGTGAACACAATGATCAAGTTTGTCTGTCTATAGTGCCCAGGTTCTCTTTCTTTACTTACTTTTTAATTTATTGGGAATTCATACTTCTCTGGCTCTCCTGGACCTCCCTATCAAGGCCTGCTCTGGAGAAAAAAAATACTACTACAATTACTACTAATAAAAAAACAATAACCATAGCTACCTTTCATTAAGCATCTACTGTAGGATGACCACGTGGTACACATTATATTAATACTAATTTATTTTACAGATAAGAAAACAGATTGAGCAATGTCATGCCATGATTTAATATTACATCCATCTGACTCTAAAGCATATCATCTTTGCAGGGCAAGTATACATTTCAGTAAAGGTTTTAGCAATAATTCTTGCTAGTAATGGTGAGAAGAGCAATATTCCCTATTAAAGGAATTAATAACCTTTATTAAAGGACCTGAAAGAGGTCTCTGTAAGAGAAATGCCAGTTCTGGTCAATAGATCAATTACCTTCATTGAGAAGAGTACAAATTTAGAGAAACATAATCTAGAGTACCTTCTCATCACATTTTCCTTCTTGGCACTTAACACAATGGTATTTTAATAATTATTTGCCAAATTATTTGTTTAATATTGTCTTCTCTTTTAATCTGTAAGCCCCATGAGTCACAAATTATACCTGTTTTGTTTCTATGTAGAGGCTATAGCATATATGGCATGGAACTTCGCACATACTAGGTATTTAATAAATATTTGTTTAAAAGAATGAATTATGAACCATAAACTGAAAGATGAGAATGTACAATTGGTTCATTAAGTCTCCTTGATACACTAGTAATCACCTTACAGTCTAGCTTTTAGAAAAATTTTATTTAAAAACAAATCCAATTTTATTTACCCTCATGTAGTAAAGAGAAATGAAGATGGAATGAGGGGGAAAAATCCCACTGAAAGATCCTGTTCATCATTACCTGGGACGGCTCATGTTCCTAGTCAATAAAAAATTCAGCAAAAGTCCAACCTCATCCACCAGGCTTCCTTGATGTAGCCACTCCAGCTCAGTGTGATCCTTCCTGTCAGTAACGTCCTTCAGCCCACTGCCTTTACCACTCATTTTGAGATTGATTCAAAATATCTGCATGCTTTATTTAAGTCTTGTCTATCCAATAATACTCTAGGTTCCCACGTCAGGTCTTCACATCTCTTATATTTTACCTCTTTCATTGATTGTCCCTTGAATAATCCTACACCATAGTAAGCATTCAAATTTTTTTAAATCAAATGCAAATGATAGAAGGAACATGGTGCTAACTAGGCCAAGAAATCAATCTGTTTGAGGCAGCTAGCAACATTCTGTTCAAAGATTAAAGCAAGGGCTTGTAAACAGAGTTCCAACTTGCCTGCAGGCTTTTCTAAGGCCCTGCTTGGGGAATGTGCAAATATCTGCACTTTTAACACATATCCACCATCTTCTTTACTCCAACCAGAGCAGTTCTGCTTCACCCCGTTTTATTGATTTAGGATGTCTCGCCCCATTTGCCTCACTTGGTCTGTAGTTCCAAACCTCAACTAAGCCAACCAATGTTTTATTTGTTTGTTTTCACATATTATTCATTTGAAAAGAGCAATATGTTGTTATTTTAAGTGGCGTGTGAGTGTGTTTAAGGGGACCGAAGACCACTGGCCTACAAAATTCTCCATGCCCCAGATGCACATCTTAGAATTGTATCCTAAAGGCCACAAGGTGTTCTGCAAGGTGTATGTCAGTGGTTCTCTGAGTGTAGGCCCCAAACCATCAACACCAGCAGCACCTAGGAACTAGAGAGGTTTTATAAAGACATATTTATAACCAATTATTTTGCTGGTTACAGAGTAAAGCTAATATGCTAGAAAGAATAAGCTAATATTTTTAAGGGATCTCTTAAAAGATTTCTCTGAAATTAAAAGCTTCATAATGTGAAAGATTAAGAGATTTCTCTGAAATTCAAAAATAGAAATGCAAATTCTTAGGCCCCAACCATACTGAATCCTAAACTGTAGGAATTAGGCCCAGCAATCTGTGTTTAGCAAGCCCCCTAAACTTGGTTACAATGCACACTCAAATGTTAGAACCACTGGGGTACATAGGCCCAAAATATGTCACAAAATGGACTTATTATTGATTTACATATTATAATGACATTCTTCCTGCTATTGTTCCGTATTTTCCAAGTTTTCTACAAAGAGTATATAATTCTTTATTAAAGTTACTTTTTGAAATAAATAATAGCATTGTTTTAAATAATAAGAAAATCTACATAATTCATTATCTCAAGAGGTTTTACAAATTGAAAATATGAATAGGTTTTTACTAAGAATTGGTTGAATTAGAACTGATAGTGATCTAATATGTATAAACTATATATATACACACTAGTTTTATATATTAGAAATTTTTTTTTTTTTTTTTTTTTTTTTGAACAGAGTTCGCTTGTTGTCCAGGCTAGAGTGAGTGCCGTGGCGTCAGCTAGCTCACAGCAACCTCAAACTCCTGGGCTCGAGTGATCCTTCTGCCTCAGCCTCCCGAGTAGCTGGGACTACAGGCATGCGCCACCATGCCCGGCTAATTTTTTATATATATATATATCAGTTGGCCAATTAATTTCTTTCTATTTATAGTAGAGACGGGGTCTCGCTCTTGCTCAGGCTGGTTTTGAACTCCTGACCTTGAGCAATCCGCCCGCCTCGGCCTCCCAAGAGCTAGGATTACAGGCGTGAGCCACAGCGCCCGGCCTATATTAGAAATTTATATCACTATACCTACTATGTACAAGGTACTATTAGGTTCTGTGTGAGCTGCAAAGTATTAAAAATGACCTCTCTCCCAAGAACTTCCAAAGCAAAATTGGAAGATAAAACATATATATTCCCCTAAACACATACAAAATATGGAGGTAGATGTGAAATATTCTTCCAGAACATCAGCTCCATGAGGCCAGGAACTTTGGTTCTTGTATCATGGGTACCTAAAACAGGGTCTGGCATATGGTAAGCTCCCAATAAATGTTTGTTGAATTAAAGGTTACATGTATATCTGTATGCATGTGTGGGGCGAAGGGAAAACTTCCGCTTTGCCCTTTAAAGGTTCACTGAAAATTAACTGACAAAAAATAGGTAGATTAAGGCATACAAATTTATTTGATCATAGTTTTACGTAACACGAGAGCCTTCAAAATGAAGACCCAAGGATATAGGGGAAATTGTCCATTTTTATGATTAGGTCCAACAAAGTATAGATAGCTATGTAGAAATATGATTGGACAAAAAGGGTATAATGTAATGTTAATCTGCTGATTAGGGAAACCCATCAGTTAGGCTAGTCAGGGGTCCTCAAACTTTTTAAACAAGGGGCCAGTTCACTGTCCTTCAGACCATTGGAGGGCCAGACTACAGTTTTAAAAAAAACTATGAACAATTCTATGCACACTGCACATATCTTATTTTGAAGTAAAAAAACAAACAGGCAAAAACACCCGCATGTGGCCCGTGGGCCGTAGTTTGAGGACACCTGGGCTAGATGATTTCTTTACAACCAGTTTTTACAACTAAAGCGGCTAAGGTCGAGGGAGGGACGGGGGAGTTAATATTTTAGGTTTTATGGCTGGCTTTGGGAAGGGGGTTCTGGTTTCTGTTACCTGCCTTGGGAAAAGGGGGTTCTAGTTTCTATGGCTAGCCTCTAGGGAGAATGAGAGGTTAGAGACAGGATAGGGGAAGGTCAGAGAGAGTTGCATCTAGGGTCTTCATTTTGAAGTATCATTTTATAAGCCCCTATATATGTATGGATGGATATATAATACAATAAGTATACACATCTAACTTGGGTCAAGTTAAAATCATGATGGAAATGAGATTTTTAAAAGTGATATCGTAGCTCTACATGAAGCTAATGAGGAATATAGCTCAATAGACAGAGGCATAAACATTTTTCTAGAAGCATTACACTGAAAATTTATCAGTGATTATTTTGTGGTAAGGAAGACTAGCTACTGAGTGGCGAATAGAAGAACATCTACTTTTTATAACTTTCTGTATAATGTTAATATTTAATTATGCACATAACTTTTTATTTTAAAATGCTAATTTTAAAAGAGGGCATAGAAAATCTTAGTCCTACCTGATTCTTTCAAGTAATGCTTAATAATTGAAGAAACTCCTTGAGGTGCCACAAAGTTACAATCTCCTTCTTTCATCACCATTCCTTCAATAGGAGAGGTGAGAGGTTTCAAAATGCCGTGAGCAAACAGTTCATCATAAAATCTTAAATAAAATAAATCAATATATATATACAATGTAAGTATATACCATGATTGGCGCTAAAATACTATATTCTCTTCCAACAAGTCTCAGAGATTATAATACTAAATCATAATTAGAAATCTTCATATGTTCAACTCAATGTATATTTTGTGTTAAATAAAACTTATAATTCAGGTGAAGAACAGAACGTTTTGAGAATTCACAGATCTTTTGCTGACATTAGGCAAAGGCCTATTTCTCCATAAGTAATATTTCAAAATTAAGATTAATGAAAACAAACAAATGTATTTAGCACATCAATTTTAAATTTGGTTAAGAAGACTGACTCCCATCACAGCTATTTATTCGTCGATCCCTAGACCAAGATATTCCGATCGCATTGATTTAAGAATCCTTTACACTATGTATCTTTGAGGAAATTTGTTGACTGAGTTGAATGATGACTTTGACCGTAAGTTGATTCAATTCAATACTATTCTGCATGTGCTCATCATTGAGTGATGTCATGTTCGTTTTTATCTCAACTATCTCATCATTGTCTTTTACTTTAAGATCATTATCTGATCCAT